ACACTTCTATACAGCTTAAAGTGACATTTAAAGGCTTAACTAGGTTAATTAGGTTAACTAGGCAGGTTAGGGTAATTAGGCAAGTTATTGTATAACGATAGTTTGTTCGGTAGACTATCGAGAAACAAATTGCTTAAAGGGGCTAATAATATTGCCCCTAAAATGTTTAATAAAAAAATTAAAAGCTCTTTTTATTCTAGCCAAAATAAAACAAATAAGAATACTCTAGAAGAAAAAAATATTATCAGACATACTGTGAAAATTTCTTTGCTCTGTTAAAAATCATTTGGGAAATATTTAAAAAAGAAAAATAAATTCAAAGAGGGGCTAATAATTCTGACTTCAACTGTATATATATATATGTGTATATACACAGACACACACACACACACGCACACATTAAAACACACACACGCGCACACTCTCTCTCACACACACACACACACACACACACACACACACACACACACACACACACACACACTCACACACGTTTGTTTCTGTGAAAAGTGGGGACATTACATAGGTTTCCAATCATTATATACTGTCCAAACCGTATATTTTATTACTTTTAGTTATTATTATTATTATTATATTGCCCTCACCCCACCCCTAAACCAAACCATCACAGGAGACTCTGTGCAGCTTTACTCTCTGATTTAACTCATTCTGTAGGATTTATAAGCATTTTGAGAAATGAGGACTCCACCAATGTCCTCCTATTTCACCTCCTTTTTGTAATACCTGTGTCATACCCATGCCATTATACAGACTTGTGTTCTGATATGTCACAAAAACATGTATACACATATACATACACACACACACACACACACACACACACACACTCCATACACACATTACACAATCTCTCTCACACACACACAAACACTTGAACACGTGTATATAATATTAATATATTCTACACTATTACTGAATATATAAAACAAGCAAAAAATAAATAAAGTGTAAATGATGACAATATGTTTTTAATTATTTAATAATCCTCCATTTGAAATCAACACTACATCATTTATAACAGTATTACTCATTACTTTTAATACACGGATCTGATATATGAACGCTTTAAAATGTTTTTAAAACCTTTAAATTAACATTTTTAATTATCTCATATATTTTATTAATTTACAGAAATAAAATGGATTGTTTACAATTAAATTTAAGCATATTTTTCCTTCATTTCAGCACCAAAATCATACGAGAGAGTTTCCACCAGCTCAGTTCCTTATAACTACCCATTTTATCCTGCATATGAGCCTGTGGAGGGTCAGGTAACACATGAATCTGTTTAACCCACACTAAACTAAACTCTAGACTGATCTGATGCTCTGATAATGCGAAAGAATGTATGACTTACCAATCAGGTGATGTCTGTGCAGGTGTGTAACTTCCTGTCAGCTGCTGACCGGAGCTGGAGGGACTTCCTGTGTGAGCAGAAGCCGCTGTCAGATGTTCAGTACAGCCAGAGCTCATGCTGGAACACTGCTGTTTATTCTGGATCTTTCTACAACTACAGCACCACCGACCTGCCTCCGTCACAATTCAGCCTGGACATCCAGCCTGCAGGGGGCAGCATACTGACAGGTACACACACCGCTGGCAACAGCCCAGCAAACACCAAGAAATGGCCCAGCCACAGCCTTCAAGACACATCAAAACAGCCTTGCCACCAGCTAGAATTAGCCTAGCAATGCCCTATAAACATTGTAGCTACTACAGAGCAAAAGTTCAGCAACAACCTAGCAAACTCTTAGTAACCACCTACAAACACACCTTAACAACCTAGCAGTCACCATGAAAAAGCCTAGCAACCACTTAAAAAAAACTTAGAAACAGCCCAGCTGTAGCCACACAATAACCTTAAAGCAACCTGGCAACCACCTGGAAACAGCTTAGCTACTACCTAGAAACAGCCCAACTATAGCCTAGCAACCTCCTAGAATCCTAGCTATAGGCTTACAACCACCTTTAAAGAACCAAGCAACTTCTTAGAACAAGTTCAGCAACAACCTAGCAAACTCTTAGCATTCACCTAGAAACACACAATCTAGCAGCATAGCAACCACTTTAAAAACCTAGCAACTGCCTTGTAACATCCTAGAAACAGCCCAGCTACAGGCTTGCAAGTATCTTAAAACAACCTGGCAACCACCCAGAAACAGATTAGCAACCTCCTAGAACCAGGCTGGCTATAGCCTTACAACCACCTTTAAAGAACCTAGCAACTTCTTTGATAATGTTCAGCAACAATCTAGCAAACTCTTAGCAACCACCTAGAAACAGCCTAGCAAAACCCTAGAACAGGCCTAGATCCTGCCTTGCAGGATCCTAGAAACAGCCTAGCTACTACCTTGAAACAGTCCAGCGATAGCCCTTCACCCACCTTAAAACAACCAGGCCACCATTTAGAAACAACCTAGCAACCTCCCAGAAACAGCCCAGCAACTACCTTAGAAACAGCCAAACAACCACATAGAAACAGCCTAGTAACAACCTCCTAGAATCAGCCTAGCTATAGCCTTACAACCACATTAACATAACCTAACAACCTCTTAGAACAAGTTCAGCAACAACAAAGCAACCACCCAGAAACAGCCCAGCAACAACCTAGAAAAACCTAGGAACAGCCTCGCAACCTCCTAGAATCAGCCTAGCTATAGCCTTGCAACAACCTTAAAAGAACCTGGCAACCACCTAGAAACAGCCTAGAAGCCTCCTAGAATCAGCCTAGCAACCTCCTAGAACCTGCCTAGCAACCTCTTAAGAATCAGCCAAGCTATAGCCTTGCAACCACCTTAAAACGACCTGGCAACCATCTAGAAACAGCCAAGCAACCTTCTAGAAACAGCCTAGCAACCTCCTAGAATCAGCCAAGCAACCACCTAGAATTAGCCTAGCTATAGCCTTGCAACCACCTTAAAACGACCTGGCAACCATCTAGAAACAGCCTAGCAACCACCTAGAAACAGCCTAACAACCTCCTAGAAACAGCCTAGCAACCTCCTAGAAACAGCCTAGCAACCTCCTAGAATCAGCCTAGCAACCACCTAGAAACAGCCTAACAACATCCTAGAAACAGCCTAGCAACCTCCTAGAATCAGCCTAGATCCTACCTAGAAATAGCCCAGCAACAACCTAGCAACCTCTTAAAAACAGCCAAACCACCACCTAGAAACAGCACAGTTATAGGTTTACAATCACCTTAAAAGAACCTAGCAACCTTTCAGAAAAAAATTCAGCAACAACCTAGCAACCACTTAGAAACAGCCAAGCAACAACTTGGCAACCACTTAGAAACAGCCTAACACCCTCCTGTAAACAGCCTAGCCACTACCTAAAAACAGCCTAGCAACCTCCTAGAAACAGCCTAGCAACCTCCTAGAAACAGCCTAGCAACCTCCTAGAATCAGCCTAGCAACCTTCAAGAATCAACCAAGCTATAGCCTTGCAACCAGCTTAAAATGACCTGGCAACCATCTAGAAACAGCCTAGCAACCACCTAGAAACAGCCTAACAACCTCCTAGAAACAGCCTTGCAACCTCCTAGAATCAGCCTAGCAACCACCTAGAAACAGCCTAACAACCTCCTGGAAACAGCCTAGCCTCTACCTAAAAACAGCCTAGCAACTTCCTAGAATCAGCCTAGATAATACATACAATCAGACAAGCTATAGCTATGCAACCACCTTAAATGACTCGGCAACCACCTAGAAACAGCCTAGCAACCTCCTAGAATCAGCCTAACTAGAAACAGCCATGCAACAACCTAGCAACCTCTTAGAAACAGCCACCTAGAAACAGCCTAGCTATAGACTTATAACCACATTAAAAGAACCTAGCAATCTCTTAGAACAAGTCCAGCAACCACCTAGAAAACAGCCTAGCAATGACCTGGCAACCACCTAGAAACAGCTTAGCAACGACCTGGCAACCACTTAAAATCAGCCTAGCTATTTCCAAACAACCATTTTAAAATGACCTGCCAACTATCTAGAAACAGCATAGCAACCTCTAAGAAACAGCCTAGCAACGACCTGGCAACCACCTAGAAACAGCTTAGCAACGACCTGGCAACCACTTAGAATCAGCCTAGCTATATCCTTACTACCGTCTTAAAACGACCTGGCAACCATCTAGAAACAGCCCAGCTATAGTCATGGCAACCACCTTAAAACATAAATGGGTGGACGTAAACATAGCTAGTGAGTCTCATCAGTGTGTGTGTGTGTGTGTGTGTGTGTGTGTGTGTGTGTGTTCTCTACGGTCTCTCTCAGATGTGCGTCTGCAGGTCAGTGTGTTCAGCGGAGAGTCTCTGCTCACAGAAGTCACCGTCTCCAGTGTTGAGGGCTGTCGGCTGGCCCCTGAGGACCCCAGCTGGACCTACGGCGGCCCCGAGCTGGTTCCTCTGCCCCAGCAGGAGTGCAGGGGAGCGCTGGAGGGTGGGGTCCTGCTGTGGATGAGCCCCGATGGCCTGTACGCCCGCCGCTGCTGCCAGAGCCGCGTTTACTGCGACGCCACACACACACGACTGCTCAAACTGGACACACAGCAGACCTGCAAACTACTGGACACGCAGATCTTCCTCACAGGTCAGAAGCAGAGAGGAATTATTAACCATCCTGTATATTTTCCCCATTTCTGTTTAACGGAGGGAAGATTTTTTTTAAACATATTTCTAAACAATAGTTAAATAACTCATCTCTAATAACTGATTTATTTTCTCTTTGTCGTGATGACAGTAAATAATATTAGACTAGATATTCTTCAAGACACTTCTATACAGCTTAAAGTGACATTTAAAGGCTTCACTAGGGTAATTAGGGTAAAGTTAGAGTAATTAGGCACAGTGGAGGTTCTAGTTTAAATGGCACCCTGTCCAAAGCACCCCCTACACCCCCAGATTTATATTGTTATATTTATTTTTAATACAAATAACAATTTATTTATATGTATTATTAATAATAATAATATTATTATACAATTATTATTCTAAAAAATAACATGAATCAATCCTAAATGTTACTGGAAAATTATTTAACAACTGGATTGACATGCAATAATCACTGAAGAAATCTTTTGCACGAATATTAATTATGATAATTCTATAGAATGCAAATGAGCAATATCACACTCGTAGCAGTGTGCTATGGCTGTATATCAGCACTGGTGGGAGGTGTGCGTTGGCAACAACAGTTCAACAGTGCGTTTATACAACAGTTCGACGGCACAATCTTGTATATAAAATAAAAAATCAAACACAGAGAGACGAAACCCTTTTGTATTAGGAACTACTTTCTTCCGCCATTCATTCACATCTGCAGCTGACGTCAGAACAGCAGAAGCCGTTACTAATTCACCAACGTCACTTTAGAGCTAGCGTTTGAATGGCTGCGTCCGAAACCGCCTACTACTCAGTAGGTAATGCATTTGAATTTAAACGTACTACTCGGCCGTTAGAAAAGTACGTTCTATACAGTATGAATGTGAAAAGTATGAATGGAATTCGGACGTACTACATCCGACATTTTGTCATGGTCACGTGACCTACCTGCGTCAGTTGCGTCGCTTTACTTCCATTCATAAATTCACTCGCGGGGCATCATGGCATAGCCAACGTGCATGGGATGTGCACTCCGGAATCTCGCCAGAAGTAGTAAGTCATTCGGGTACTTCTCGCATACTGATTTTCGAATTCTATGAATTCGGACATACTACTCGGCTCGCATACTGATTTTAGCATACTATATAGTATGGAAGTATGCTGTTTCGGACGCAGCCAACGACTCTCTATAGCGTAATGTGAAGCGGCGCTTCTGGTGTGTGATGCCCTTAAGGTGAAGACAAAGCAGCAAGTTTTGCTCACATTGTAAGATTATAAGGCTGAACGTGACATGAAATGCCGTCAGTCTACAGAGATTTCTCCCTACAGTCTATTACAGTCCGCAGTATTTCTCTGTTGCCGTCGGTATTGTGACGGGTGTCAGGTGTCTCAGCGTTTACCCGGAGACTTTAAGGAATAAAAAAAGCAGACAGACACTATTCTGCTATTCATATTGGCCTTTATGCGTTTCTCCTAAGTGCTGTCGACTACATACAATGCCAGTCAACGACAAAAGAGAAAGAAAAAGACACTCAAACATCCGTCGCAAAAGCTCCCATACATGCGTGCTTACATCTCAAAAGGTAAAACAACCACAGGAATATTCCTCTTAATGAGGACATTTATACACAATGCATATCAAACATTAAGCGACCGTTACAATATCACAATAATTAACCTCGAAAAAAACAGAGCAATCACTAACTTACCAGATTGCTGTTGTGTTTGCGATAAGGAGGGACGAGGCTGAATCCAGCTTCTTATTCGCAGCTTCTTATTGACTTTATCCAGTCCACCTTAAAAACCACGAGGCTTCCGTTTTCAGCTTTTTTATTTGCACTCAGGAAAACACACTGGCTGCGTCCGAAACCGCCTACTACTCAGTAGGTACTGCATTTGAATTTAAACGTACTACTCGGCCTTTAGAAAAGTACGCTCTATACAGTATGAACGTGAAAAGTATGAATGGAATTCGGACGTACTACATCCGCCATTTTGTCATAGTCACGTGACCTACCTGCGTCAATTGCGTCGCTTTACCCCCAATTATGAATTCGCTCGCAGGGCATCATGGGATAGCGCAGCATGCATGCGATGCGCACTCCAGAATCTCGCCGGAAGTAGTAAGTCATCCGGGTACTTCTCGCATACTGATTTTCGAATTCTATGAATTCGGACATACTACTCGGCTCGCATACTGATTTTAGCATAATATATAGTATGGAAGTTTGCGGTTTCGGACGCAGCAACTGAGCTTATCATGCCGTTCTGGCGCCATCTTGTGGACAACGTCAACCGTCTTTGGCTGCAGACGACGAGCTCTCTTAGAAATTGTAAATATTTTAAAATAGGCACTATTCTTGCAAATAAACTGCATAGTTGCAATCTAAACAACTACATTCTCCACTAACAAAGCCTCAAAAGTACATTTGTACTTTACTAACAGTACATTAGTACCTTACTAACTGTAAGGGGTGAGTTGTTGAACTGTAAGTTGATCATCTCTGTCTTGCTTTATTCAGAACTGCAGGCTTATGTGCTTCATGCTCGGCCTCCTCCACGTTTCCATGCACAGCTGTTATTTGAGAGTTATGACCGCTCAGAACGACCGCTGACTGTCCAGGTACTGAATTATGACACTCACAATAATAATAATAATAATAATACTAATAATAATGGCAGCATGGTGGCTCAGTGGTTAGCACTGTGGCCTCACAGCAAGGAGGTCGCTTGTTCGAGTCCTGGCTGGGCCATTTGGCATGTCATTGTGGAGTTTGCATGTTCTCCCTGTGTTGTTGTGGGTTTCCTCCGGGTGCTCCAGGGGTCTGTTCTTCGTACCTCGCTTAAATGAAGATGATTTGGCAGATCCTGGATCTTTTAATCTTGATAACTGATCTCTCACTAATTTGGTTCTTCAAACAAGTTCGTGAATCAGATTAAAATGTCTGGATAAACTGATCTGAGATCGCTGCGTGTGTTGTTAAGGACAGATCTATCGATCCTCGAAATCATGATCAGCAATGCAACGATTGGCTGACGGCACAGCAGCGTAATGACATCATCTGATTAATATTCAATTATCCATGTGAGCAAAATGACATCAAATTACCAGTAAACGGTTTGTTAAATATGACACGCAAAAACCTTCCACATTTGTTGTGAGCTGCAGGCTTTACACTTTCATGTGTCAAGACAAGTGTATCATCATGTATTTCAATGCAAATCAATGTATTTAGTTCTACATTTAGAGAAGATTTTCTTTATTATAGTAGCCGTTTTTTAATCGGTGTAAAGAATAACTGGTTGTTTACAATTTGTGAAGCATCAAATCACTGTCATATTAACTGCCAAAACATGTTCATGACTGCTGAAATGTATTATTGCTTTAAAAAAGTTCATATCAATAAGTTTTCTCTTTGCACCACCAGGTGGCAGTCTTTGTACTTTCATTTTGAGAGTGCAGATTGCACAAGTTTTATTATTATATATATTTTTTTTATTTTATTAATAGCTATAACTATATATATATATAGTTTAAAAAATATTTACTCTTTTCCCAAGTGTATATAACTACTACTGTAAGAAAATATCAGAATTCAGAACATACTTTCTCTATTATCTTTGCTTGAACTGAGCCGATCTAATCCTGTTTATATGAATTGAACCTGCTCCCGATCAGGTTTAAGCTAGCAGAACTGTTGCTATGACAACAACTCTCGGATCAGCTTTGAAGAACGAAACGATCCTGGATCGTATGGAAGCATATGAGTAGCATAATTCAATTCAAAATGTAATATGCAAAATGGCAATGCAATATGTTAAATGGCAATGTATTTCTGTATTTGAATTTGCATTTTCCAAGACATATGAGCAATGTTTGGTGCAGAATGAAAATGTAAATTAAATTACATTGTTTGCATTTCTCATTTCAAACACTGTTTTAATATGTAAATTGTATCCACATTTTAAAGCTTTATAAGTAGCAAAATTAAATTGAAAATGCTATACACAAACTGAATTTGATGTGAATAAAGTACAAGCAGAAACTGTAGCAAAATGATAATTTAAATGTTATTTGTCCTAAATGCATTTACACTCACGTCTAGGAAACGCAGGATTACATTTTCAGCATAACAGCATGGGATGTGTGTAGCAAAATTAATTTTGAAATGTAATATGCAAAACGATAATGCAATATGTAAAAGGCAGTGTATTTCTGTATTTCAGTTAGCATTTTCCAAGACATATGTGCAATGTTTGCTGCAGAATGAAAATGAAAATGAAAAAAACATAATGCATTTTCATTTAACACATCGCGATGAATGAAAGCCGATTTGAAATTGAAAATGCATTCTGGCCTGGCCACGCCCACAGACGGCCGCCGTTGCTGCCAGGCGGGTTTTAGGTTATGTCGTCACAGCTGCCGCGAGGACTATTTGGGACATTTGGCAGCATAAACATGGCGAAGTCTGTTCCTCAGCGGCTTCGTGAAGCTGCACGAGCCCTCGAGCTTGAACTGGGAAATACTTTAGAAAACCAATCACCTCCTAGCTCAGTAAACTTGGCTTAAGGTTTGATATTCGCGCACGCAGTTTTAGGGATCATCTGCAAATTACATCGACAGAACCTAAAGGGGCTTTAGCTGATGTGTACTGTATGCTTGTGACAAGAGCTATTGCCTATTTCTGCATTGTATGTACCATATAGTTAGAGGTATAGTAGCTTTGCTACCTGTATTAAATCAGTCTGGCCTCTAACCATTTATTGGAATCTCCTCAATTTTTTTCTGCTTTGCGTTACTGTGCGTTTTGGTTCTGTTGATGTAATTTCAGGGCTGATAGTGGAAAAAATTCCTGAGCCTGAACTTTTTTTCCTTGCCCCTGAGGTGAGTAGGGGTGGGGGTACTATGTATGCAACGCACTTTTAACACATAACTTGTGGGCCCCTGGGCCCAAATATATTAACAGCCTATGTGTAACCCTGATCATCATTATTGTCAAGTGGCTCTTTTTAGACACATGCCAGTAATGTCAGTGACACATGCCAGTGTCAGTGATCTTGTGACATGTGCCAGTAGGTGTCAGTATAAGCACGTTATAAGCACATTAATCTTATAAGTCTCTTTGCTTTAATATTTAAAAATCATTAGGCAAATGACACCTGTTATCTTACATGCATATATGTTATGAGTTTTCAACATGCATTTTATTATAACTTTTTAAAGGATATTATTTAAAATACCTTAAAATGAAGATAAGTTAAATAATAAAATAAATGAATGAATTAAAAACATAGAGAAGTCCATATTGTAGGGAACAAAGGAACTGCCAGGATGCAATAATATACAGTACAACAGATAAGTGTAACCCCTCCCATACATAAGCATGCCACAATAAATTTGACTGACATGTACTGTCAAATGACTATATTACGTACGGAAGTATGACTACGAATACATAAAATAAATGCGTTTAAATTAAAACATCGTGGAGTAGCTCAGCAAATAAACTAACTTGCGACGCGATAAATTAGGTTAAAAGTCGCGTAATGATTAAATATGGTTTTGCTCGTGTTAATTAATGTCATAAGCTTCGCCTGGTGTCGATGTCACTGCAGTGACATGCAGCGCGACACTCTGAGTGACACAGGTCACTACACATGCCACAAGCGAGTGACACATGACAGTGGAAAACCGGACTGTGCCAGTGTCATCTGTACGTCAGATGTCGTGTCACTCCATGTTAAAACTGCTACTGTGAATCCGCGTTCAAGCGCACACAATAAGCTAAAACTCGCCCCAAGCACCGGCAAAAACAAATAACAATGAATGTGTCGAGGAAAGAGTAAGGACATATCTTAATTATTTATTTATTATTTTATTTTATTTTTTTATTATTTTATTTTATTATTATTTTAATTTATTATTTACTTATTCTGAGTCAGTGTCGTAAAGATCCTGACTGACAATCTCCTCTTGGACTCGCCTTTAGAAAGAAATTCATCTTTACGGATTACATGAAGGAGTTTTTTTGTTTTCGATTTTTATTTCGTTAAGTAATAATTTAAAGCTTTCTATAAATATATTTATTATGTCTGTGAGGCATATACATTTTGCTTCATTTTGTTAAGCGCTCCTGTTCAAAAACCAGACCACAGAAAGCGCATAATTTTGGTTTTCTTTATTTTATAAAAACGCTGTAACGTTTTTTGATGTATTACTCGTACTTTGTGAGCAAAATGACGGATAACTTTAAAGTGCTCCCACTGAAAAAATGCAAGTGATTGCTCTGGCGCCGCGATGTCCTGCAAGCTTTTTATAAGCAAACTATGCGCCTAATAGCACACATTCTTTAACGTTTAAGCTACCATTGTTTTATACTTGAACTGTTTTATATCTTTTATTTTAGGCAAGTCGTGATGATCTGAGAAGGCAAACTGATCAAACAGACAATGATGGTCTTCCGCTGGGCGCTGTTCGTTAAAAAAAAATTATTTTTAACGAATAAAAAATGCTCCAAACGTTTTTCTAAATAAGCTGAATAAAAAATGAAACTAAATATAAACACTTTGCCATTAGGCTACATACAAAACTGAACTATTTCATAGCTGAAACACTAACGTTAAGTTGTTTAAGGAGAAGGGGGAAATATATTTTTGTCCCGTCTATTGCTTCACCGTTATTTCGAGAATAAACCCAGCGTAAATATGCAGATGTCATTCCCAAAACATATCAGCGTATATGTGCCGAAAACGAAAGTTTCATACAAATTCTGAATGGATTATAGCCTGGAAAGTGCAAAGCATGCTCCTCTTATTATCACTAAAAAGCGTCACTAATCTTAGTTCATAGAGATCTCACAAAGATCCGTTATAATTTATAAAGCTCTCTAATACACAATTAATCTTTTATTTACATGGCGTCTACACTCAAAGATGATTCACGAGCACACAAAATGGCACTTAATAAAAACCAATCCGGCGCTTTCAGCAGTGAGTGAATTCTGTGAATCTAGAGAAATGACAGATCAATATCCGTGAACCTGATTTTTTTTCCCCCGCAGCCACAGTACGCCGGAAATCCGGCGTGGTGCCGGAACGCTATCACCCCTGTAATTTGCAGATGATCCCTAAAACTGCGTGCGCGAATATCAAACCTTAAGCCAAGTTTACTGAGCTAGGAGGTGATTGGTTTTCTAAAGTATTTCCCAGTTCAAGCTCGAGGGCTCGTGCAGCTTCACGAAGCCGCTGAGGAACAGACTTCGCCATGTTTATGCTGCCAAATGTCCCAAATAGTCCTCGCGGCAGCTGTGACGACATAACCTAAAACCCGCCTGGCAGCAACGGCGGCCGTCTGTGGGCGTGGCCAGGCCAGAATGCATTTTCAATTTCAAATCGGCTTTCATTCATCGCGATGTGTTAAATGAAAATGCATTATGTTTTTTTCATTTTCATTCTGCAGCAAACATTGCACATATGTCTTGGAAAATGCTAACTGAAATACAGAAATACACTGCCTTTTACATATTGCATTATCGTTTTGCATATTACATTTCAAAATTAATTTTGCTACACACATCCCATGCTGTTATGCTGAAAATGTAATCCTGCGTTTCCTAGACGTGAGTGTAAATGCATTTAGGACAAATAACATTTAAATTATCATTTTGCTACAGTTTCTGCTTGTACTTTATTCACATCAAATTCAGTTTGTGTATAGCATTTTCAATTTAATTTTGCTACTTATAAAGCTTTAAAATGTGGATACAATTTACATATTAAAACAGTGTTTGAAATGAGAAATGCAAACAATGTAATTTAATTTACATTTTCATTCTGCACCAAACATTGCTCATATGTCTTGGAAAATGCAAATTCAAATACAGAAATACATTGCCATTTAACATATTGCATTGCCATTTTGCATATTACATTTTGAATTGAATTATGCTACTCATATGCTTCCATAGGATCGTGTCAAATCGTCAATATCCAAATCCAGCTGAGTAATCCACGTACGAAGAACGGACCCCAGGTTCCCCCGCAGTCCAAACACATGCGCTATAGGGGAGTTGATGAACTAAATTGGTTATAGTGTATGGAGTGAATGAGTGTGTATGGTGTTTCCCAGTACTGGGTTGCGGCTGGAAGGGCATACGCTGTGTAAAACATGCTGCAATAGTTGGCGGTTCATTAAGTTGTGGTGACCCTCAGTTTGGTTTCAAAATGAAAACTAAGTTTTAACCTGTGTTTACAAAACAACAATGTGCTATAAATAGATCCTGAGCATGCAGATCCACACTGTATTTTGTATGCCAGGTCAGTAGGGGGCACACACAGAACCGTCCAGATGTTGACACTCTGTTGAGGTCTGCAAAAAAATAACAACACCTGATGTGCATGTGACTTCATGCTCCATACGAGAGGTGTCTTTAAGCTGCCATCATTAAAAAAGCATTTTATATAATGTATTAAATACAGCCGGGAAAATAAGTATTGAACACCTCACCATTTTTCTCTGGTGCTGTTGACTCGAGTTTTTCCACAGGTGTAGGTAACAGCAAAATAACACCATATATGCAAAGAAAACAAAACTACTTAGTTTACAAATAAAGTTCTGCGTAATAAAATGAAGAAGTATTGAACACATGAAGAAAGGGAGGTATATTCCGGCAGTGAAAGCCCAGACAGCAGCTGAAATCTCTCAGTAGTTCTTCAGCAAGCCTCTGCCCTTCCTCAGTGTAAATGAATATCAGCTGCTTCAGTCCAACATCTACATCAGCAGGAGGATGAAGATGAACCCAGGGTGGACATTTCAGCAAGACAATGATCCAAAACACAGCCAAGGAGACTCTCAGATGCTTTCAGAGAAAGAAAATCAAGCTGTGGAATGGCCCAGCCAATCACCTGATCCAAATCCAATAGAGAATACAGAATAAAGCTCAGATTTGATAGACGAGACCCACAGAAGCATCAAGATTTTACACTCTGTTGAAGTCTGTGAGAAACTCACACCTGAGGAATGCATGAAGCTTTGTTCTCCATATGAAAGGAAGGTCTGTCAAGCTGCGATCATCAACAAAGCCTTCTATATAAAGTGTTAAACACATTTCAGTGTTTCAGCACTTTCTCCTGTCATTTAATTCTTACCACACACAACTCATCTTTTGTTTTATTTTTTTATGTTTGCATTGTTTGGGTTTTTACCAAAATCTGCTTCAACTCCATGTCAACAGCTCCTTTGGAAATTGTATCCCCAGGAAAGCAACATGACAATGTGCTCAATACGCATTTCCCCCGCTGTTTATTAACTATAGTTTCATATTTTCGGTCGTTATTCTGATTAGTCGATGGCAGTGCTTTATAGCGTTGTTTTTTAATACACTACCCCTGGCTTCAAATAAACATTTGTAATGTTGTGATTTCTCCTGGTGGTTGATTTAATGGATTATCATGCTTCTAATAAAATCTCTATGGGAAAGTGAACTGTAGTGTCTTCTGCTGCCCTGTAGGTGGAGCCACTGTTCGCCCGTCAGCTGATACTTCTCCTACAACAGGGCGGAGTCAGTCACATCCGACACGCCCACGACCTTTCTCCTTTGACAGCAGAGCAGATTCACCCGACCTTTCAGGACCACGCCAGTGGAGTTCAGACTCATGGAAACTTCTCCCACCAGTGACGCCAGAGACAACCATTGATTTAAATGCGCATATTAATTATATTAAACATACCTATGGGATGTTGCTGTGGAATTTAGCAACTTAATGCATTAATACAGGATATGAGAGTTCTAATATTTACAATACATACAGCTGAAGTCAGAATTATTCGCACTTCTGTATGTTTTTTCCCTCCAATTTCTGTTTAACAGAGAAAAGATTTCTAATCATAATTTTAATAACTCATGTCTAATAACTGATTTATTTTATCTTTAAGACACTTCTATACAGCTTAAAGTGACATTTAAAGGCTTAATTAGGTTAATTAGGGTAAGGTTAGGATAATTAGGCAAGTCATTAATGATGGTTTGTTCTGGAGACAATCCAAAACTAATATTGCTTAAGGAGGCTAAAAATATTGATTATTAAAAACTAATTAAAAACTGCTTTTATTCTTGCCGAAATAAAACAATTAAGACTTTATCCAGAGGAACAAATATTAGAGGAAATACTGTGAAAAATTCCTGAATCTGTTCAACATCAGTTGGGAAATATTAGACAAAGAAATAAAAGTTCACGAGAGGGCGAATTATTCTGACTTCAGCTGTATATTAATATTCTCATATATAATATTCTTATATATACAGCTCTATGCAAAATAATATCAAAACACTTGGAAGTTTTTTTGTTTTTCTGCTTTTTTACACATATTTGAATATTGTTTTTATTCTGATAATATTTCTTCTGAATCTAAAAGAAAAATATTGTAATTTAAGGGATTTTTATTAGATAATGCCAAATGTTTTCATTTGTTGCTATTATAAATCCAGGTTATGCAGCAAATATTGATTTCAAAGTTCAATGTTTGACTGAAAATTAATATAAACAATCTGAAAAATGCCACATCTGTTGTGGTATGCAAAAAAAAAACTATTTAAAAGAAATAACATCTGTAGTTCATAGAAAATAAAATTAAATTTGTTTTTTGTTGTTTTGTAGCTCAAACACAACTTTAAATTGTAAATCTTTTTATAAAAAAAAAATCTAATTCCACTTTATTAGGTATACCTTACTAGTACTGGGTTGGATCCTGCTGGAAGCAGCCATCAGAAGATGACATGGTTAACATCAATACTAGGCTGTTGCATTGGCATGATGCGTAAATCATACTAATGAACCCAAAGTGTGCCAAGAAAATCTCCCCCACACCATTACACCACCACCACCAGCCTGAACCGCTGACACAAGGCAGGATGATCCATGCTTTCATGTTGTTGACGCCAAATTCTGAGCCAAACATCCGAATGTGTCAGCAGAAATGGAGACTCATCAGAGCAGCAACGTTTCTCCAATCTTCTATTGTCCAGTTTTGGTGAGTCTGTGTGAATTGTAGCCTCAGTTTCCTGTTCTTAGCTGACAGGAGCGGCACCCGGTGTGCTCTTCTGCTGCTGTAGCCCATCCGCCTCAAGGTTGGACGTGTTGTGTGTTCAGAGATGCTCTTCTGCAGAGCTCGGTTGTAACGAGTGCTTATATGAGTTACTGTTGCCTTTCTATCAGCTGGAACCAGTCTGGCCATTCTCCTCTCTCCTCAAAAAGGCATTTGTGTCCACAGAACTGCCGCTCGCTGGATATTTCCTCTTTGTCGGACCATTCTCTGTAAACCCTAGAGATGGTTGTGCATGAAAATTCTAGTAGATCAGCAGTTTCTGAAATACTCAGAGCAGCCCATCTAGCACTAACCATGCCACGTTCACAGTCACTTAAATCCCCTTTCTTCCCCATTCTGATGCTCGCTTTACAATGCAGCGGACCCTCTTGACCATGTCTACATGCCTAAATGCATTGAGCTGCTGCAGTGTGATTGGCTGATTAGAAATTTGCATTAAGCAGTTGGACAGGTGTACCTAATAAAGTGGCCGGCGAGTGTGGATGTTACTTATACTTTACATAAAAGTTTAAAAAGAAAAAAATAAGTATTCGTTGAAAATATGAAAAAGTATTTTACTGATTCTGAAACCAGCAAAGGAGAAATACTTCCATGCCTGCCTGATTATATGATTAATAACTGTATAATTTTTTGTGCTTATTTTTTATTTTTTTATTTCTCTGTTGGCACTGAGAGAACATCTCAGGGATTTAATCTGATTAAATGAATGTTTATTTTAGATATATTGAATGATATTTTCTATCTGCTTAATGCAAAAATATACAGTTGAAGTCAGAATTATTCGCCCCCCTGTTTATTTTTTCCCAAATTTCAGTTTAACAGAGAGCAGATTTCTTCAGCACATTTCTAATCATAATAGTTTAATAACTCATCTCTAATAACTGATTTATTTTCTCTTTGTCATGATGACAGTAAATAATATTAGACTAGATATTCTTCAAGACACTAGTATTCAGCTTAAAGTGACATTTAAAGGCTTCACTAGGGTAATTAGGGTGAAGTTAGGCTAATTAGGCAAGTCATTGTATAACAGTGGTTTGTTCTGGAGACAGTCGATAAAAATACAGCCTTAAGGGGCTAATAATATTGACCTTAAAATGGTGTTTAAAAAATTAAAAACTGCTTTTATTCTAGCCGAAATAAAACAAATAAGACTTTCTCCAGAAAAACAAATATTATCAGACACACTGTGAACATTTCCTGAATCTGCTCAACATCATTTGGGAAATATTTAAAAAAGAAAAAGGGGGGGCTAATGATTCTGACTTCAACTGTATATTGTAAACAGGCCCTGTACAAATGTGAAACTATAGATTATATAACAATTAAAAAAACTAAAAAATTGACATGAGTTATCAAACAATGAACTATTTTTAAGCTTTGATTTATGACAAAAGAATAAATAATGTCATTTTTATTCTACTTTATACATCTATGTATTAAATGTTACACAATATTAATACACCACAAAAAAAAATATATTTTCTTAGATCTTTTGTCTTGTTTTTAGCTTAAATATCTAAAAGGTTTTATACATCAAGAAGCATTTTCTAGACATGTAAAACACTGTCTTGTTATCAGAAATAATATTCCAATATTCAGTGAGTTTTTCCTTAAAACAAGCAAAATAATCTGCCAATGGGGTAAGCCAAATAATCTTGTTTTTTCTTTTGACGTGAGACTATTTGTCTTACCGAATGGGCAGATTATTTAGCTTGTTTTAAGGGAAAACTCGCTTCATTTTGGCATATTGTTTTTGAATTTGTAATAATTTTTTGGAGGGGTTTTCACCTTTATGGGGTAGGACAGTAGAGAGAATTGTCAGGAAAGCATGGAGCGCAGAGAGAGGGGAAGGATCGGCATAGAACCGCGAGGCGGAATCGAACTCAGGTCGCCGTGAGCACCGGAGTGCATGTGTCGACGCATTAACCACTACACCACTGGCACCGACGGCATAATGTTTCTTAAAACAAGATTCTATGTTTTGCTTTAAGAATGTTTAGATTTAAGAAAAGCATTTTTTATTAACTGATTTAAAAGTTTGATCTAATGCTGTCTGTTCAACAAATAAACGGAGTCGCTCGTCTTTTCATTTATTGCATTTATTTGGTTGACTGTCGGACACAGAAATACACAATAAATATGACATCGACTGGCTAATATACGCAACGGCACAGTGTTTGAAATCAGAGACACTTTTAGAGTGAAACACCTGTAAACATTTATATTTCCCCCAACATGGAGCACGAATACGAGCACGGTTTGGTTATTTAATGCCCACAGATGCGGTTTAATAGTGAGATGTTCCTGAAGATCTCCATTAAAGAGATAGTTTACACAGAAGATGAGCATTTACAGTTCATTTACTCTGAAGATGACTTTTATTTTCCTCAGTGGGACATTAAAGATGATTTTCAGCTCAATCTGTGGTACTGATTTGTATAATGCAAGTCAATGGTTACCCGTTTTTGAGGTTCAAACAAACAAATCTAAATCAACCTGTAGCAAATGATGACACACTGAGCTCTCATGAAGAAAAACAATCAGCAATCTTCTAACAACATATGTTGCTCTATGCTAGTTTTTAACAGCAGATGGCGGCATTTGCTTGATTTTAACAAAAAAGGGCGCTCTAGGCTAGTTTTTAAGAGATAGATGGTGCTCTAAGATAGTTTTTACCATCAGGAGGCGCTCTAGGCTGGTTTTTAAACAGCAGATAGATGATGCTCTATGCTAGTTTGTAAAACCAGATAGCTCCCAAAGTAGCTTTAAAAAGCAGGCAGCGCTCTAGGCTAGTTAGTATAAGCAGATGGTGTGCTAGCTAGGTTTTAACAGCAGATAGATGGTGCTCTATGCTAGTTTGTAAAAGTAGACGGTGCACTGGGCTAGTTCATAACAGCAGAAGGTGTTCAATGCTAGTTGTTTACCAGCAGATGACACTATTTGCTAGTTATTACCAGCAGATGGTGCTCTATGCTAGTTTTTAAAAGCAGATGACACTAATTGCTAGTTTTTAAACAGTAGGTGGTGCTCTATGCTAGTTTTTAACAGCAGACTGCGCTCTAGGCTAGTTTTTAATAGCAGATAAATTGTGCTCTAGGCTAGCTTTTAACAGCAGACGGCGCTCTAGACTGGTTTTCAGCAGCAGACATCGCTGTAGGCTAGTTTTTAATAGCAGATGGTGCTCTAGGCTAACTTTTAACAGCAGATAGATGGCACTCTAGGCTACTTTAAACCAGCAGATGGTGATCTAGGCGAGTTTTTAACAGCAGACAGCAGCAAATAACACCATCTGCTGTTAAAAACCAGCCTAGAGCGCAGTCTGCAGTTAAAAGCTAGCCTAGAGCACCATCTGCTGTTAAAAACTAGCCTAGAGCACCGCCATCTGCTGTTAAAAACTAGCATAGAGCGTCGCTATTTGCTGTTTAAAACTAGCCTAGAGTGCGTCTGCTGTTAAAAACTAGCCCAGAGCGTCAGCATCTAATGTTTAAAACTAGCCTAGAGCACCGTCTGCAGTTTAAAACTAGCCTAGAGCGCTGTCTGGTGTTAAAAACTAGCCCAGAGCGCCATCTGGTGTTTAAAACTGGCCCAGAGCGCAGTCTGCTGTTAAAAACTAGCCTAGAGCGTCGCTATCTGTTGTTTAAAAATAGCCTAGAGTGCGTCTGCTGTTAAAAACTAGCCTAGAGCGTTGCCATCTGCTGTTAAAGACTAGCCTAGAGCGCCACCATCTGCTGTTTAAAACTAGCCTAGAGTGCTGTCTGCTGTTAAAAACTAGCCCAGAGTGCCATCTGGTGTTTAAAACTAACCTAGAGCGTCGCCATCTGCTGTTTAAAACCTAGCCTAGACTAGCCTAGAGCACCGTCTGCTGTTTAAAACTAGCCTAGAGCGCCATCTGCTGTTAAAAACTAGCCTAGAGCGCCGTCTGCTGTCAAAAACTAGCCCAGAGCGCCTTCTGCTGTTAAAAACTAGCCTAGAGCGCTGCCATCTGCTGTTTAAAACTGGCCCAGAGCGCTGTCTGGTGTTCAAAACTAGCCTAGAGCGCCCTCTGGTGTTTAAAACTAGCCTAGAGCGCCGCCTGCTGTAAAAAGCTCAGCAATTGATTCTCAGCAAGAACGATATTTCACCACAGCTCAAAGATTAAATCTAATTTTATTGTAAATAATGTTGGATTTCCTGCACAGCGTGATCATTTGCCTTCATAAGAGCCATTTATAGTGGTTTTTAACTTTCAAACAGGTTGACTTGTACTAAACGATTCACCAAGGACCACAGATTCAGCTCAAAATCGTCTTTAATCTCCTAATGAAGAAAAACCCATCTCAGAGAGCCTCATCCTCTGTAATTTTACATCTTTGTATGAACTATCGCTTCAACTCCAGCAATTGTGCATCTGCATCAAAAGGTGAGCCCATATAATCGTGCTACCACGAAACAGGAAGTGACATCAGTCAATGAGTGATTGCATACACAAACACACAGTGAAGTGGTGAACCTGAATGAAAAAAAAAACCTGAAAGGAAAATCCGGCGTGTTTATCATAGTGTTCACAAATAATACTGGCATCTCTTCATTTCACCTGCTTCCCTTTCCAAATATGCAAGAAAACGTCCCTAAAATATGTCAGATCAGTAAAAGGATCATCACGCAGATGCTTACACATCACGTCCAATATATATATATACATTTATATTTATACAGACATTTATATGTATATAAAAAACTCAAATAGAAAACCAAATATAAAACATTGCAGAACAAGGCAAATAAAAATGCTTTGGTCAACAAAACCCACATACTGGCAGGAGGACGTCGATCACATTTATACCAGCTCCAAACGCGGCAAACGAACCAGCGAAATGTAACCAAAATACACTTTTGCGCTGTGCGACTGGCCTTGACGCAAAATATTTGGCGAAACTGTATTTCCCGAGAATCATACGCAGTCCAGAAAGCCATTCCTCGTCATTCACGTACACTTATATATGTGTGTTGGTTATACTTCAGCAGGAGAACATCTCTTGAGGATATTGCATGCTGGGATAGCTGTGAGTGGTTAAAACAGCCACAAGTTTCTTTCTCTAAACCAGATCAGCAAGTAGGAATGGATTTGCACTTTCTGTAGGTTTAAATCAGTCATGCCGTGAGCTCGTAAAAGTGTGTGGATGTGATGTGTGTGGCTCACTCGAAGGTCCAAACCTCCAGGTCCTGGATGGTGAAGTCCTGTTTGGAGGACAGCGGCTGGTTGTTGAAGGTGGAGCATCTGGAGGTGGTGCCGTGGTAGAAATCAGCGTCCAGCCACAGCCCCAGACCCCTGAGAAAGGTGGTGATAACAAATCAAGGTTAAATTCAGTATAATCAGTGTTGCCAGAAAACTAGCCAAGAGGGCCGTTTGCTGTTAAAAACTAGCCCAGAGCGCGGCCATCTGCTGTTTAAAACTAGCCTAGAGTGCTGTCTGCTGTTAAAAACTAGCCCAGAGCGCCATCTGGTGTTTAAAACTGGCCCAGAGTGCTGTCTGGTATTTAAAACTAACCTAGAGCGTCGCCATCTGATGTTTAAAACTAGCATAGAGCGCTGTCTGCTGTTAAAAACTAGCCCAGAGTGCCATCTGGTGTTTAAAACTGGCCCAGAGCGCTGTCTGGTGTTTAAAACTAACCTAGAGCGTTGCCATCTGTTGTTTAAAACTAGCCTAGAGCGCCGTCTGCTGTTAAAAACTAGCCCAGAGCGCGGCCATCTGCTGTTTAAAACTAGCCTAGAGCGCTGTCTGCTGTTAAAAACTAGCCCAGAGCGCCATTTAGTGTTTAAAACTAGCCCAGAGTGCTGTCTGATGTTTAAAACTAGCCTAGAGCGCCGTCTGCTGTTAAAAACTAGCCCAGAGCACGGCCATCTGCTGTTTAAAATTAGCCTAGAGCGCTGTCTGCTGTTAAAAACTAGCCCAGAGCGCCATCTAGTGTTTAAAACTGGCCCAGAGTGCTGTCTGATGTTTAAAACTAGCCTAGAGCAATGTCTGCTGTTAAAAACTAGCCCAGAGCGCCATCTGGTGTTTAAAACTGGCCCAGAGCGCTGTCTGGTGTTTAAAACTAACCTAGAGCGCCACCATCTGCTGTTTAAAACTAGCCTAGAGCGCCGTCTGCTACTAAAAACTAGCCCAGAGCATCGCCATCTGCTGTTTAAAACTAGCCTATAGCATTGTCTGGTGTTAAAAACTAGCCAAGACCACCATCTGCTGTTTAAAACTGGCTCAGAGCGCTTTATGGTGTTTAAAACTAACCTAGAGCGTCGCCATCTGCTGTTTAAAACTAGCCTAGAGCACCGTCTGCTGCTAAAAACCAGACTAGAGCGCCACCATCTGCTGTTTAAAACTAGCCTAGCGACATCTAGAGCACCATCTGCTGTTAAAAACTAGCCCAGAGCGCCATCTGGTGTTTAAAACTGGCCCAGAGCGCCGTCTGGTGTTTACACTTGAGTAGACTTGAAATACACTTAAACAAAATCAAGCCCCACCTACATCTGTACCTGTTCCAAAACCTTATAAACTTGTTTCATGCCGAGTTTGTACAGTCGAGGGACAAACATAGTATCTCTATACTCACTCTCCTCCTCCAATCTGAAGAGAATCTGTGTTCCCTTTTACAAAGTAGGAGTTTTCCCCTGTCCAGCGGTACACCTGAGGACAAACACACACAGTGCCATTCACTGAAGATCAACTGAAAAGCTCACTTAAGAGTCGTCAGCAGGGCCTAAAACTAACATTGTGCACACTTGCAATAGCTGTTTACTTGAGGCATTCAAATATTCTTCACTGGCCACAAAACAGTAAGAGCATTATTTCATTAAAAGCATGCAGAACAAAGTGGAAAACATATAATACTAATTTGATTATTATTCATATATTTTAATTATTATTAAAGGTTCACGAAACCCTCTGGTACTTTTTTTTGAGATGTTAACAGATTTACGTGTGTGTGTGTTGAGCATCAGTTAAGACACTGTTAGCACCTGTTAGCTTTAATTGTGGGTAAACTGGATAGTTTTGAGCTTTTGTCAGCTAATTTCAGCTTCTGGGTTTAAATTGATTTTATGGGCGGATCAAAATCGGTGACGGAGAGCAAAACTGCAAGCGCAAAGATGACAAGTCGGTTTCTCATTATTATTCATAGCGGAGTTTTCTTATCCTATGAGAAGAGCCGGCTGCTTAATTATTCATGACTGCACTTGCTTCCTGAAGGCAAGACAGACCTGCCAGTGCCAAACTGTGAGACACGAACCCACGGCACACAGTATTTAGCTGTTCATGAAGGGTCACATGTGTTTGTTTCCATGATCCACAGGGTTTGTTGCATGTTTTTCCCCTGCGATACTGTCAGGACCGATCATACAGCAAAGCTGTGTGTGTGCAGCAAGTATTTTTTGTCAGGAGAGCAGTACGAGAATTGGAGAATGGCGGACGTTGTGTTTTATCAGGAGTTAGTTCACATTTAGACACATCGCTGTGTTGCTGTGTTCACCTAAATCCTCCAGATTACCAGCAGGGCTAATGGTTAAAACAGACAGGGCAAGAGACCTGCTGCACTGAGTCTGCATTCAGACCCGGGGATTGAGGGAGAAGTCCTCATTTATAGTGTTTACATGAACACCATTATCTTTATAATGGGTCACACTTTACAATAAGGTTCATTAGTTATTGTTAATTAATGCATTTACTAACATGAACAAACAATGAACAATACATTTACTACAGTATTGGTTCATGTAAGTTACTGTTAATTAATGAAAATACAGTAGTTCATTGTTAGTTCATGTTAAAGGGTCACGAAACACCAAAACACATGTTTTGAGCTGTTGACAGTCGTATATGTGTTCCACACTGCTAAAAACACTATTAGGACACCTATATTTCACTAAAAAGTGTAAATTGGTTGTTTTTGCGTTATTTCAAGCAAATTCGTACTTCCGGTTTGAAACTAATTTTTGAAGCTGCGTCACGGTCATGAGATAATAGCGTGTATTCCAGCGTGCAGACTGGACGTCTGTGCCAGAGTGAGTCTTATTACGTCTTACAGTGTGCTGCATTAATGCATGAGTAAGGCTTGGTTCAAACCAATCAGCGCGCTCTATTGTGCAACTTCATTAATATTCATTACTGTCACAGTGTTTAGACGACAGAGACGCCACGTTGTGTTGGCAAAACAAGCGTGAAGTGTTGCTTTTATAGTCTGCTGCCATTAAGTTTCGTTTTCATTTTCTCTCTGTGAGAGCTCAGCTGGAGTCACGTGTGGATTAACAGTGTACGCGACGCTCGACAACAATAACTTATGTGTCTAAGGAGGAACATTGTTTACCTGAGAGCTGTTCTCATCTGCAAACGCTGAGATCCGGATTCGCTTGTAACGTTAGTCTTCTCTTCATAAAGACGCACGCGGCTCTAGCTGCTGGTGATTGTCCTGTCTCTACAGATTTGGTAAGTGAGCGACCAGTGCTCTTTGTTAATTCAGTTTGTTCGTATCGAATTAAGTTAACTACTGCACTGAGTGCAAACATAGCACCGCATTTAGTGACCGGAATAACACACGCGGCTTTCTGACACTACCTGCCGTGTGCATCTAAGTTTCCGAGAAATGCTGAGTTTTTTTTTCTCTCATTCGCCGTGCGGTATCAAACATTGCATGAAAAATACGCTTACAGCAGTTCCTCGAATCAAATATCTTGTTTGTCGCGAGGGACATGAATGAATTCCCTGAATGAAAGAGCCGAACTGCAGTTAAAGTCCAACAATTAATAATTTGGCAAATAATTCCACTACAGATGTCCATGTAGGTTAAACACCATCACTTTCTCATGTGTGTGTATTTTGACTCTGAAACTCAGCGCGTGCCCAAATAGACACTCCCACACCCTCCCACTTTAGTTCCTCCGACACTCCCCCCTAAACAAAGCTGGACACGCCCACTTTTCTGACTTTTTCCAAAGTAGAGGTGTGAAAACACCCTGCTAAAACGAGGGGGTTTCATGGCCCTTTAACTCATGGTGCATTAACTAATGTTAACAAGCATGGACTTGAATGTTAATAATGCATTAGTAAATGTTCAATTATGATTAATAAATGCTGTACATGTGTTGTTTATGATTAGTTCATTTTAGTAAATGCATTAACTAATGAACCTTATTGTAAAGTGTTACCTTATAATGAAATAAACTGTGGTTATCTGTATATAAATTTACGAATAACAATTAAGGCAGGGCAGTAAATCACTGTTTATTTCTTTGCATTGTAACTTTGTAAACTATAAACTCATGCGTCTCCTCACAGTTTGTGTCTCATATTGTGAGCTGACTGACTACAGTTGTTCGCTCCCCTTCTTCTCCCCTTCTGGCCACGCCCACTCCTGCCCTATGCTCGTAGAGCTCCACGCCCATTATGATGCATCTTTTGAAAAAATTCTGAGGTAGACCTGAACCGAAAGTGGGGGGTGTCATGGCTCTTTAACAACAGACTTTCTTCATTAATTTTTGTTTTGTGTTTTAAAAGATGTACTATATGGGAGACTTGCTTTGTTTACCAAAGAAGTGGATCTAATTGAATTTGCACTGTTAAATAAAGAATAAAAAGGTATTACTTTAAATTATTATTAGTTACTAAACTGCCAAAATCATTCTGTATAAATTTGCAGATGTTTTTTGCTAAATTCTCCAGAGAAATATTGTGCACAGATTCTGTCTGGCCTTGCAGATTCCAAGTGTGTGTTCCACAATATTGTTCAGTAGCATACCTTAATCTCGGGGCAGAAGCTGTAGAGGAAGGTTTCTCCTGTGCCATAGTAGTGTTCACTCATTCTGAAAGGGTGTGTGGAAAACACTCCAAAAATCTGACGGAGGAAACGGAGTGTTAACATGACAGCAGTTTTACACACAGGCAGCGGTTGGACCGCAGTGTGTGTACCTGGTTGTCCATGTCTTTGATGACCATCAGCACAGGACAGTCCAGCACCATCAGGTTCCTGTAGAGTGTTTTCAGGCTGGTGCCGTGTACGACTGTACTGTAGACCAGACGCCACGGATAACCCTGAACACGGGCTGGCAGACGAGTGGACAACTGTGCAGGAGAGAAACACACACTCACACACCAGAGATTTCAAACCTCCACCCCCCCCCCAACACTGCTGTCAGTTTATTTGTTGGCGTTTCTGTGTGGAGTTTGCATGTTCTCCCCATCTTGGCGTGGGTGTCCTCCAGGTGCTCTAGTTTCTCCCACAAATCCAAACACATGCGCTATAGGGGAATTGGCTAAATTGTCCGTGGTGTAAGAACTGTGAATGAGTGTGTATTGATGTTTCCCAGAGATGGGTTGCAGCTGGAAGGGCATCCACTGAGTAAAACATATGCTGGATAAGTTGGCGGTTCATTCCGCTGTGGCAACCCCAGATTAATAAAGGGAATAAGCCGAAAAGAAAATGAATGAATGAATCATCATGCAGTTTTTACACATTGAAATGCGACCTCACAAGCACACGCACACACCTGGGAACGGTGGGTGAGGAGAACCAGCTCATTTGCATTTAAAGGCGCAGGCTACAAAAACAGCTACACCTTGTTGTGACCCCAAAATGGGCATATCCTGCACTGTATGATAAATGATCTGATGGGTGTTTTGAGCTGAAACTTTACAGACACATTCTGGAGACACCAAAGACTGATCTTACATCTTGTAAAGAGGGTAAAATATGAGATCTTAATCAGAAAGGCAGCAGACCTTCTCAATGTGTGTGTCCTCTAGCAGTGCACTTGGGTCCAGCAGTGCTGGCAGGAGATCCACAGGCTCCTCGTCCTCAAAGCTGAAGCTCTGCCGTCTCTTGGCCTCATTAATGGTGATGATCTACAATAACATTCGTGCACGAACACAAGGAAAGTCGGGTTAGATGGGGTTGCCAGGTTTGTCACTACAAAATATGTTGGTGCTTATTTGTGTGTGTTTGTGCATGTGTTCATATGTGTGTGTTTATGTCTGTGCGTGCATGTATATGTGTGCATATGCATGCGTTTTTGTGTGTGTGCATGGACATATATGTGTTTGTGTGTGCATGTGTTTACATGTGTGTTGATGTGTATGTGTGTTTGTATGCATGTGCTTTTGTGTGTTTGCATGCACAAATGTGTTTGTGTGTGTGTATGTGCTTATGTATGTGTTTAAGTGTGTGTGCATGCATATAGGCGTTTCTGCACATATGTATGTGTTTACGTACGTGTGTGCATGCACATATATGTGTTTGTGTGCACATTTGTATGTGTTTATGTATGTATGCTTATGTGTGTGTGCATGCACATATGTTTGTGTGCGCATATGTATGCGTTTATGTATGTGTGCATGCACATATGTGTTTGTGTGCAAATATGCATGTGTTTATTAATGTGTGTTTATGTGTGTGTGCATGCACATATGTGTTTGTGTGCGCATATGTATGCGTTTATGTATGTGTGTGTGCATGCACATGTGTGTGTGCGCGCATATGTATGTGTTTATGTATGTGTGCATGCACATATGTATGTTTATTAATGTGTGTTTATGTGTGTGTGCATGCACACGTGTTTGTGTGCGCATATGTATGTGTTTATGTATGTGTGTGTGCATGCACATGTGTTTGTGTGCGCATATGTATGTGTTTATGTATGTGTGTTTGTGTGTGTGGATGCATGTGTTTGTGTGCACATATGTATGTGTTTATGTATGTGTGTGTGCATGCACACGTGTTTGTGTGCGCATATGTATGTGTTTATGTATGTGTGTGTGCATGCACATGTGTTTGTGTGCGCATATGTATGTGTTTATGTATGTGTGTTTGTGTGTGTGGATGCACGTGTTTGTGTGCACATATGTATGTGTTTATGCATGTGTGCATGCACATATGCGTTTGTGTTCGCATATGTATGTGTTCATGTATATGTGTTTATGTATGTGTGCATGCATATATGTGTTTGTGTGCGCATATGTATGTGTTTATATATTTGTGTTTATTTGTGTGTGCATGCACATATGCGTTTGTGTGCGCATATGTATGCATTTACATGTTAGTTTATGTGTTTGCATGCGCATATGTGCTTGTGTGTGTGTCTGTATGTGCTTATGTGTGTGTGTATGTGCTTATGTATATCTGTATGTGTGTGTTTGCATGCACATATATTTGTTTGTGTGCGCATTTGTATGTGTTTATGGATGTGTGTTTGTGTAAGTGTGTGTGTATGCATGTGCTTGTTTATGAGGTTGTGTGTGCATATGTATGCATGCACATATATGTGTTTGTGTGCGCATATGTATGCGTTTATGTATGTGTTTGTGTGTGTGTGCATGCACATATATGTGTTTGTGTGCGTATATGTATGTGTTTATGTATGTGTGTGTGTGCATGCACATGTGTTTTTGTGCACATATTTATGTGTTTACATGTGTGTTTGTGTGTGCATGCACATATATGTGTTTGTGGGTGTGTTTGTATGTGCTTATGTATATTTATGTGTGTGTGCATGCACATATGTGTTTGTGTGCACATATGTAGGTGTTCATGTATGTGTGTTTGTGTATGTGTGTGCATGCACATATATGTTTTTGTGCACATATTTATGTGTTTACATGTGTGTTTGTGTGTGCATGCACATATATGTGTTTGTATGTGTGTTTGTATATGCTTATGTATGTTTATGTGTGTGTGCATGCACATATATGTGTTTGTGTGCACATATGTATGTGTTTAAGTATGTGTGTGTGCATGTTTGCGCCACTAGGAATTTTGGGGTCCTATAAAAGAATATTTGAGGTTGGGCTGCCTGCTAGTACTGTTAAAACTAATAAAGCATATCTTTGGGGGCCCACAAAGCCGTGGGCCCTCACACCCGATTCACACGGACTGATCCACAATAGCAGTGCCTGACATCACCTATTCAAAGTAAATGGGAAGCGTTGACGCAGACACCCCCGTGTGAATAGGGTGTTAAAATAATCCTATGTTAACTCCGCGGAGTATGGGTATAAACTTGTCGTGGCATCTATACATTGCTGCTCCAGTGGTTATTGGCATTTAAATGAAGGTCGGTTCAGCACAGGCATCATTAGCTGTGTTCTGTGAGGTGTTTCTGACCTCCCAGCTACGAGGCACCGGGTCACTGAAGAAGTTGTCGATCATCGTGAGCTCGTCTTTCTCCACCACTACAAAGCCCTGGTCCTGCGCATCTTTACCGTACGTGTCTGGAGACCACTGGATGAAGAACGAGTACAGGTGGTCCACCCTAAGGAGACACGGCAGGACAGATCACTTACACTCATATTCAACACAACACAGCTGACTTGACTCCATGCTGAGAATGAATAGCTGCGTCCCATATCGCATACTTATGCACTATTCTACGGCATTTTGTAGTATAAATAGTGCAAGTAGTGTGTTCACACTGAAAACACTAAAAATAATAAGTGCACTTTAATTACCCGGATGATGCCCTCATTCAGCCGCTAAAATGAAGTGTGTAATGATGGACACTTCACGCACTCAACGACCGCAGGTTTGCTCACGTAGCGGAAGAGACGGAGCTATCAGGCACACATGTTGGATAACTTTATTTGTTTTTGATTGTGAAAGCGAAATTCTCCTACAAGAATGATTATAGCGCCTCCCGATGGTGAATGCAGTTATATTCACGGCAGGTATTATTTGATAATTCTGTCATTTATTTCACTGATTTGGCAACAGGTCAAACGTCATCAGGGAAACGGTTTGAATTTCCGCTTAGTAAAAAAAACATTAGTGCTCCATTTGGGACGACACTACATAGATATACTATGCTGTTGAGTGTGTAAGTGCATAAGTACATAGTGCATGAGTGCATAGTGCGCCATTTGGGACGCAGCTTTTGTATATTTTGCACAATCTACAGTAATCAACATTTAAAGTGGATCTAAAGTGGTTCTAAAACTGGTGAAAACCCCCATTCTAGTCTTACAATAATTAATTATTGAACAATAATACAACTGAAAAACTGTTTTGATGCACTTTAAATGCTGACTACTGTATATACATTCATTCATTCATCTTCTGCCGCTTTTCCGCGGCCGGGTCATGGGGGCAGCAGTCTTAGGAGAGAACCCCAGATTTCCCTATCCCCAGACACTTCCTCCAGCTCCTCCGGGGGGGATCCCGAGGCGTTCCCAGGCCAGCCGAGAGACATAGTTTCTCCAGCGTGTCCTGGGTCTTCCCCGAGGCCGTCTCCCGGTGGGACATGCCTGGAACACCTCCCTAGGTAGGCGTCCAGGAGGCATCCGAAACAGATGCCCGAGCCACCTCAGCTGACTTCTCTCGATGTGGAGGAGCAGCGGCTCTACTCCGAGCTCCTCCCGGGTGTCAGAGCTCCTCACCCTATCTATAAGAGTGCGCCCTGCCACCCTTCGAAGGAAACTCATTTCGGCCACTTGTATCCAAGATCTTGTCCTTTCGGTCATGATTCAAAGCTCATGAGCATAGGTGAGAGTAGGAACGTAGATTGAGCGGTAAATCGAGAGCTTTGCCTTTCGGCTCAGCTCCTTCTTCACCACAACGGACTGGTACATCGACCGCATTACTGCTGCAACTGCACCAATCCGCCTGTCAATCTTACGCTCCATCCTTCCCTCACTCGTAAACAAAACCCAAGATACTTGAACTCCTCCACCTGGGGTAAGGAATTTCCTCCAACCTGGAGATGGCAAAGCACCTTTTCCGGTGGAGCACCATGGCCTCGGACTTGGAGGTGCTGATTCTCATCCCAGCCGCGTCACAATCGGCAGCAAACCGCCCCAGTGCATGCTGAAGGTCGATGTTTGATAAAGCCAACAGAACAACATCATTTGCGAATAACAGAGATGAAATCCTGTGTTCCCCAAACCGGACCCCCTCCAGCCCAAGGCTGCGCCTTGAAATTCTGTCCATAAAAATGATGAACAGACTTGGTGACAAAGGGCAGCCCTGCTGGAATCCAACATGCACTGGAAACAAGTCTGACTTATTGCCGGCAATTCGAACCAGACTCCTACTCTGTTCATACAGGGACGAGACGACCCTCAACGGATCGCCTCTGACCCCATACTCCCCGAGCACCCTCCACAGAATGCCACGAGGGACACGGTCGAATGCCTTCTCCAAGTCCACAAAACACATGTGGACTGGTTGGGCATACACCCATGAACCCTTGAGCACCCTGGTGAGGGTATAGAGCTGCTCCAGTGTACCACGGCCCGGACGAAAACCGCATTGTTCCTCCTTGATCCTAGGTTCAACCATTGGAGTATCCGGCAAATGATTGAACCTAGGATACTGTACATACATATGTACATATTTACTTCCCATGCAGCAAAAGTCACGTCACATGATTTCGCTGATGTTCACGTCAAACTGAGCTTTGCGGAACTGCAAATGCAGACGACTGCTTAAAGGGGGCAGGAAATGATGCATTAATCTAAGTTGATAATTTTTCACAATAGTTGGAGGCCAAAATCTAAATCAAATGTTGATTAATTGGACAGATTTCTATTTAGCTATATCATAAATACATATAGATCTATACGGGCTGTCAATCAATTAAATGTTTGTTTTTTTTAAATGTGATTAATCGTACGCTATTATCCATTTTAAATGTGATTCTATCTGCCCTTACGATCACGGCCTCCCAATCATCCTCTTCCACCGAATTGGCTCTATCACTGTCTCTCCACTGCACCAATAGCTGGTGTGTGGTGAGTGCACTGGCGCCGTTGTCCTGTGGCTGCCGTCGCATCATCCAAGTGGATGCTGCACACTGGTGGAGGTGTGGAGAGACCCCCCCCCCCCATGATCGTGAAGCGCTTTGGGTGTATGGCCAAACACAATAAATGCACTATATAAATACACATTACATTACATAATTATAATGTTGCATTCTGAAACTGCATAACATCAGTGCACACAACAAACTGAAACATAACATTGTTTTATAGAGATACACCGAATGAAAATTCTTGTCCGAAGCATAATGAAGTGATAAAGTCATCATTATAAACATGAGCCTCTTGTTAAAGGTAAAGGCGTTGCTATAATATATTTGCATGCTGGACTCTTTCTTTATTGTTGGGGCTTTTTATTCTCCTTTCTTCATCCATATTAAGCTGCTATGAAATCAAATAAAAGCACTATAAAAATAAAGGTGAACTGAATTTAATAAATATAAAAACAAGCCATTCAGGGATATCTTTTGCTTTCATAACTCGTATACACTCACTGGCCACTTTATTAGGTACACCTTACTAGTACTGGGTTGGACCCCTTTTGTCTCCAGAACTGCCTTAATCCTTCATGGCATAGATTCAGCAAATATTCCTCAGAGATTTTGCTCCATATTGACATGACAGCATGATGCAGTTTGCTGCAGATTTGCCGTCAGCACATCCTTGATCTCCCATTCCATCACAAACAAGATGCTCAGTTTGAATGCAAGCGGATCGTCCATGTCTACATGGCTAAATGCACTGAGTTGCTGCAATGTGATTGGCTGATAAGAAATTTGTGTTAACGAGCAGCTGTACCTAATAAACTGGCCGTTGAGTGTATAGCCTCCGTCAATTGGGCTTCATTACACAATTAATGCCTTTTATAACTCTCAAGACAAAATGCTTTTGTGACAAACTCCATAAAGTCAGCCTGCACATCCTAAAATCAATAATTAATATATCGTAATAGAGTACAAGCATCGCTTTTACCTCTCCTGAGGCACAGCGAACCAGTACTCCAGGTGGCGTCCTCTGCTAGTGTAGGAGTGGGTGGGGCTAGACGTCCGACCAATGGCGAAGGACTTTCTCATTGGCTTCCCCACCTTAAAGCAGAGGAACATGGGCGGAGCTTTGCTCTTCTCCTCATTGGACAGCAGCATGTCTGTAGAGTACAGTTTGGAGAAACAAAGCTCTTCAAAACAACTGAACCAATTGTTCACAAAATGATTCACCATATTAAAGTGCTCAAAACAGCACATCAGCGACACCTGCTGGTCAAAACTGGGTACATGCAACAAAAAGCATTCAGACAAATTGGCATTTTCACGCATATCAAATCTAAATTTGATAGTATAGCCATTGAATGCACTTACAGGGTATGAACAGAAGTCAGAGAGTAAAACTCCATACATTAAGACCTTATCGCCAGTTTAGGTTTCAACTGGTATTTAAAAATTTGCAGTATATTTAAATACTGACTGTAAGAAAGCACAATTAAAAGCCTCAGCTTGTAATAACTGTTTCAGTGCAATATAATTCAGAAGTATATGGTTATTTATTATATTAATAATTTATTTACCTGACTACCCCAATGAAATGTTAATAGGAAAGAAGAATACAAAACAATTAGACTCGTTTTTTTTTTTTTTAATTACTTCATGCGAGGCTGACTGATGTTTTTTGTGAAGTTTATTTATAAACTAATTTGGAGAGGAGCACGGGCGCTTATGATTGATAGCACCTGGTCATCATTAGCTAACACTGATTTACCAATCAGACGACTCCTTAACCACTATACATAACCAGAGTATCTTACGTCAGCCATCTTCGTCTTGAAGAATCCCCCCTTCCACCCCTACTCTTCCCATTTCCTTGACAGGGCAGCACAGAGGCCTAGTGGTTAGCACCACGGCCACACAGCAAGAATGTCACCGGCTCGGACACTACCTGGCCAAGTCGGCAGTTCTGTGCGGAGTTTGCATGTCGTGTTTGCGTAGGTTTTCACCAGGCTCTCCGGTTTCCTCCCACAGACCAACAACGTGTAACATAAGTACATTGACAAATCTAAATTGACAGCATAGACACCTCATAGCATTATATTCTACTTCCAACAATATCAAGCAAGGGAGTTCTCGAGACCTAACTAAACTCAGACTCCCCTCTCGCCCTGCAACGAGCCCCGGGCTCGAGGATCTTACAAGCTAAGGGCTCTCTCCCGACACAGCATGCCAAACACGCTCCATAATCAATCATCAGCTAAGGGCGAACTCTTGAAACACTAGAAAATTGGCTGATTGCATATTTTAGAATTAAGAAAGCGTTCATTCATTCATTTTCTTTTCAGCTTTGTTTCTTTATTTATTAGTGGTCGCCAATTCAGAATGAACCGGCAACTTATCCAGCATATGCAGGGCCGGCGCGTCTATAGAGGCGACCTAGGCGCCCGCTTACGCCCCATTCACACGGGGATTCAGCGTCAACGCTTGACTGAAGGCGTGTCTGAAGTTGGGGCTGAAGTGATCGTCATAGCAGCGTCTGCCAATGAAATTCAGTCAGCAAAAGGCCACTGTCTAGCTGGTGTATTTGCATACAGCGATATGATTGGCTGATGCTTCCGTCGGCGCTTGAAAACTTGAGCTAGTCCCAACTTCTGCAGTGAGCAACGCCTCTTAAGCGGCGGCCACGGATCCACAATGCAGTTTGGCAACGCCTGACGTCACCCATTCAAAGTGAATAGAGTAGCGTTGACGCTGACGCCCCGTGTGAATGTCCGGGACACCTCCGTCACCACCTGCATCCTCCTCAATAATGTCCACGACACCTCTCTCATCATCCGCGTCCTCAGCTATATCCGCACCTCGGGCGGCAGAATAGAGAGGGCGGCATCCGCAACACCTCCCTCACCACCCGCGTCCTCCGTTATATCCGCGAGCGCCCCCCGGTCACTTTCGGGTTGAGGGCGGCGTGATCGTCCTTTGCCTAGAGTGTCAGCTTGCTCCGGCCCTGAGCATATGTTTTACACAGTGGATGCCCTTCCAGCTGTAACCCAGGACTGGGAAACACCCATACACACTCATTTACTATGGACAATTAAGGTAATCAATTCCCCTTATAGGGCATGTGTTTGGCAACCGGAGTACCCAGAGGAAACCCACGGCAACATGGGGAGAACATGAACTCCATGACAGAAACACCAACTGGCTCAGCCAGGGCTCAAACCAGCGACCTTCTTGCTGTGAGGCCACAGTGCTAACCACTGCACCACCATATCGCCAATTTAGAAACTAGAAAAAAATAAATATGTGGCTAATTTCTAAATCTTTCATTGGTTAGTGCAGCAAGCAAAGCAGCGCAACACACAATCTAGCAGGATTTTATAGATTTCATAAACTACAGCATCACAATATTCACAGATAAACTTCGGGCAAACTTTAGCATACATCTATATATTGAACAACAAAAAAATATACAAAAAGTAAGACCTTGTAAAACAGCATTTAAGACTTTTTAAGGGACTTAAATTTCTCTAAATCTGTTTATTTTCAACTTTTCATTCTTTTTTTTAAGACCCAGTGAACGACTTAATTTACCATCTAATATGATCAATTATTCAGTGTTTGCAGAATATGAGTTTATTAATTTATCATTATGAATTTATATTTTATAAATGTTTATATGTATGTTTGTGTGTGTGTGTGTGTGTGTGTGTGTGTGTGTGTGTGTTTATATACAGTTGAAGTCAGAATTATTCGCCCCCTGTTTATTTTTTTCCCAGTTTTTGTTTAACAGAGAGCAGATTTCTTCAACACATTTCTAATCATAACATAATTTTAATAACTCATCTCTAATAACTGATTTATTTTATCTTTGTCATGATGACAGTACGTAATATTAGACTAGATATTCTTCAAGACACTTCTATACAGCTTAAAGTGACATTTAAAGGCTTAAATAGGGTAATTAGGTTAACTAGGCAGGTTAGGGTAATTAGACAAGTTATTGTATAATGATGGTTTGCTCTGTAGACTATCGAACAATATATAGCCTAAAGGGGCTAATAATATTGACCTTAAAATGATGTTTAAAAAATTAAGAACTGCTTTTATTCTAGCCGAAATAAAACAAATAAGACTTTCTCCAGGAGAAAAAAATATTATCAGACATACTGTGAACATTCCTGAATCTGCTCAACATCATTTGGGAAATATTTTAAAAAAGAAACAAAATTTAAAGGGGGGTGAATAATTCTGACTTGCATAGTAATTGTAAATATGCATAGTATTTTTTATTGTATATATAAATTTATATACAAAGGTATTACGTATTTAACAATATTGCATGAATAATTTTTTTTAACACATTTTAAATCGGAGACGTCGATCTTCAGGTGCAGAAGTGGCTTCATGTTGACTGACATATGGAAACTTATGCAAGTGTTCATGCTCTGTTTGTTTTTCCAATGTCACTATTAACTCCTGCTGAGAGGCCAGATAAAGCCTAATCTGTTAAACACACACACACAAACACACACAAACACACATACACACACACACACACACACACACACACACACACACACACACACACACACACACACACACACACACACACACACACACACACACACACACACACACACACACACACACACACACACACACACACAGGTCTGACAACTACACAGACAGCACTACAGCACACTGTGCATGCATTTTCGACACCAGCTGCTCTAAAAGGTGGAAATAGTATGAATACATTTCAGAGAGTAACATCACAACACATGGCAAAGATTGCAGGAATTGCTGTTTGGTCGCACTTTAAAATAAGGTTTCATTAGTGAACGTATTTACTATCCAGAATTAAGTATAAACACTTAAACACTACCTGTGCAGCATTTATTAATCATAGTTCAACATTTACTAATGCATTATGCAATAAAATGCAAATGTATGCTTGTTAACAATAGTTAATGCAAAACAAATGGGAGATGAGACTCTGATTGGTTTATTCTGAAAACATTGCACTTTGCGCATGGATCGTCAAAATAGAGCCCAAAGTCTCAGCCAGGGGTGCATTTCCCAAACCACGACGCAACTCGCAGCTGAACTATTACGGTACATTTGGGAAAAGAACGATGTAATGATGAGTGTTTCCTAAAACCCATAGTTTCTCTGTCGCAGATCCATCGCTTGAACCACGTTAGTTATAATGTAAAATGCCCATAATGACGCTCTAATTAAAGCCTGTCATTTCTTTGTGCAAATTATATTGCCTTACACAAACACACATTTAAAATAAGATCCAATATTAGATTTGGTAAAAACATGCACTCGCTTTCCATATCAACTGAAATATATGGCACATATAGGGCCTGTGTTTGCTTTACAAATATTATAGAGAGTGACATGTCATATTCTAAAACATAAAATCACTAACAAAAGCTAACACGTGTTCTAATATTATATTTAAATCATATAAATAATGAGGCGATTTATCAAGAAATGAAATTGAATATTTATTATTTATTATGTATTAGAAATGAAAAAAAATCATAGTTTAACAATAATATTAATAGCATTAATGATGATGATTATTATTATTATTATTATGTAGGACATTGTTTATTTATTTATTTTTTTAAAAACTTTTCCAATTTGACTCATGTAAACCACAGCAGAAAGTTCTAACCAGCAGGCCCATGTCATATACAGTAGAGATACTTGATAAATAACCCAGGCCCGGATTGGCTAATCGGGAGGACCAGAGGGCCTCATGTACGAAGACTTGCGTGGAAATCATATTAAAACATTGCGTACGCACAAAGCTGTAAATGTGCGTACGCAGAAAAAAATTCAGATGTATGAAACACTGCGTACGCCGAATCTCACGCATATTCTTTTGTACATCTGAATGAACGTGAAACTGAGCGCAACATGCACGAGCACAAAACCCCTCCCTGCCTCCTCCCCCGTATGAATATGCTAATGACTCTACTTTGGCAAAACCCAACGAAAAAGCAACGGCAAAAGCAAGCAAAAAGAGAAACTTTGAACAGAAGTGAATTAGAGGTGCTCCTTTCAGAGGTAGACCTGTAAGTTTGTTCTCCGGAATTAACAACAAAAGAAAAAAATAGAGTGGGAGAGTTTAGCTGATGCGGTTAACACAGTTGGGTCTGAACATCGCACTGAGTGGAGTTAAAAAAAATAAATAGTGTGGTTTATATCTGTAAAATGTTGCGGCACCCTTAACAGTCTCAGTGGCGTGGCTCGTAAGACGCATGTCAACATGTTTTGACACGTTCGAGCATGAACTCGGCTCGAATCCAGCATCTGATGAACTCTTTCTTCTTTTTCCCCCGCTACATATCAGATTTTGCCCACTATTTTTCACGAGAAAGACCAGTAGGAATCATTAATAAGTCTGTGCATCATATTTTATTTGCACATTTATTGAATGGAAATGTTTCTGATTCACGCATGCAAGTTCATCTTCAGATAGTGTCTTTATAGCAATGTGTGTGCAGTAGATCGCTCAGATTACATTGGGAAAACAGGCGACCGCTGCAAATTGCGCTTTAATGTTTGGCTGGTCAACTGTATGGTATGGAAACCTTATATACCTGCTAGATGAACCCGTCTCATACAGCTGCCATTGCAATGCTCAGACACTTTGTAGAGAGCAATTTAACACAACTGCCTCTAGGAGTCGCCAATGTAAATAAAACAGACACGCACAAAAAATGTGCGTACGCCTGCCAGAAAGCTGCCGTGAAGCTGCGCACATTCCCACGTTCAGTTCATTGTTAGTAAATCCAAACGTGAGCGATTCTGAGCGTGAAACCTGGCGTACGCAAAGTTTTTGTGCTTACGCAGCGTTGATACATGAGGCCCCAGGAGAATTCCCGGTGGGCCGGTCTGTTTTTTGGCCGTGAGGGCCGGTGTTCCTTGCTGCTTGCACTCTCAGCAGTCACACTTTTTTCATCTATTTATTTATTTGACCATAGCTTTACTCTTTTTATTCATTATTTTGCTGCAGCGCCGCTCTTTTTATTTATTTTCTCGCAGCCCCGTGAGCAAAATGCAGCCTGCAGGTTAACTAAAGTTAATGATAATGAAGTAATGTAACTATCGACCCCAAACAGCCACTTTTATAGTGCCATTGTGGTCCAGTGGTAAGCACATTGCGTTGGAACGCTGCGGACCCGTGTTAGAATCTTATCTGTAAAACTATTATTGATTTTTTTTCATTTTTATTGTAAAGACATATAATACTGTTAGGGTTGCTGAACATTTGAATTTCTAAAGCAGCTGTTTTCTTGAAAAAAGAAAAAAAAAAAGAAAACGTGGACTGAGGTGGGCCGGTCTGGCTTGAAACTCCAGGACTGAAAATGAGTCCCACTCCGGCCCTGAAATAACCTACTATACATTAAAAGAATTAAGGTATGCTGTTTGTTTTTACAAGCTTTGGAGACGTAACATAAATTCCGATTTTAAATAACAGGTCACCTAAAGCTTTGCCATGAGCCTGTGTTCAAAATGACATCAATGTTTTCAAAGTACACTGCGAAGGGAGCACATGTCAACATGAAGATCGCTAAAACTGAACTGTAAAAATAGTTTGAAAGCAAATTACACCTAAGAGAGATGAGCTTAATGCTTTTTTACTTTTCATAATTCCAACTTTGAATGTTAGAGTGTACTAAATGAATAGGGCATAGGGGGTATAAGTGGGAATAGAACACAACCAGGAACTATGTTTCTAACTACAGCTCCACAGGGATAGTTGCGAGTGCACAAGTTTGCGAAGCAGTTTGCGAATGTTAGTTGGAGTGATGGATTTGGGAAAAGGCAAATCAACAAACTATGTTTGTAACGACAGGACTTGCGACCTTAGTTGGCTAACAATGGTTTTGGGAAACGCACCCCAGGTAGGAAAAAGTAACACAAAAGTAAAGAAACGCATTGCATTACTAACCATAAAAAGTAACTAAGTAAAGCAACTAGTTACTTATTGGAGAGTAACTCGATATTGAAATGGATTATTTTCAGAAGTAACTATGCCCAAAGATCAGTGCTGTCAATCATGCAATGCTCAAATCTGATTAGCCGATAAGTGCTGTCAATCATGCAATGCTCAAATCTGATTAGCCGATAAGTGCTGTCAATCATGCAATGCTCAAATCTGATTAGCCGATAAGTGCTGTCAATCATGCAATGCTCAAATCTGATTAGCCAATCAGTGCTGTCAATCATGCAATGCTCAACTCTAATTGGCCGATCAGTACTGTCAATCACACACACACTCACCTTCGATTGGTTTCTGCATTCTCTTCAGCAGCCAGCTCTTCATCTCAGCTTCATTCGCACGTTTGCGCTTCTCAGCTTCAGAAAGTTCCGCGTTTGACCCTTTACTCTCCTCAACAATCGGTCTATTTGCGAACATTTGGCTCCTTCTTTTGGTCACTTCAACACTATCGTCGGTGGATCTGTTGTGAAGTCCTTCATCCTCGTCCTCGGGTGTTTTTGTGTGCTCCTGCAGCATCGCCCCCTGCAGACCGGAGCAGGAGGTGTTGGAGTCGCTCTGCAGCAGCTCCAGTTCGGTGAAACCCTCATCAGATGGAGATTTGTCAGCGATCTGGCTGTCTGAAGCGTCGACGACGGCCGTTTCGATGTCGTCCAGCACAATCGGAAGGCTGGACGAGCCCAGAGACTCATAGCGACTGAAAGGGTTGAGATCTTGCTCGGACGGAAGCTCCTCCCACTCGCCCGGCCTGTACAACGGACAGAGATCCTGAGGCTCATCACTGATGACATCATCACCGGTGACATCATCAGTGACACCATCAGCGAAATCCGCAACATCACCATCGGCAACGTCAGTGATGACATCATCATCAGCAACGGTGACATCACCATCAGCATCATCATCAGTGACGTCATCATCACCATAATCAGTGATGACATCATCATCGAAATCATCCATGACATCAGTGACGACATCATCATCGGTGACATCAGTGATGACATTATCAGTGACATTATCAGTGAAATCCGCATCATCATCAACAACGGTGACATCATCATCATCATCAGCATCATCGTGTGGGGGTGGAGATGGCGAAATTAAATAGAGGAAACAAAACAGAACAAAAAACACCCAAAATGAAGTGGATGAAATGAAGAAAGTGGTGCCGTCAAACTATTCATTATCATTACTTGCGTTCAAAATGTCATTTGTGTTTATGTAATGCATGCATGCACTGTGTTTATGTACTTTGTATATATAAATACAAATATAAACAAAATACTAAAATAAAATTATTTGCATGGATATTTATTTTTTTAGATACAATTTGTATTATAAAAATAGACTCAAATATGTGTGCTTATATATATGTATATGCATGTATATATGCATAGTATTTTTATTGCATATACAAACAAATCACGTGATTATTGAAATTAAATAATAGAAACTTTTATTCTGGATGCGCTTAACCATGAACAGTGTTTGACGGCACTAAACAAACACAAGACAACTGAACAAAACAGAACATGACCAACCATAAATGTGACCCAACGCAAGTACTAAAATGACAACAGACGTCAAAATAGAACTTAAATGTAAAACGAGTGAAAGAATGGAAAGAAGAATAGAGGAGTGTTTCATTAAATTCCTCCCTCTGTTTGCATGAGCTAGGAGGAAAATGACTTACAGTAATACAAAAATCAAAACAAAAAAAATAGAAAGAAGGAAAAAAAAAGAAGAAAAAGAGGAAAATGATAAAGAATAAAAAAGACAAAGAAAAAAAACATAAAAAAGGAGAGGAAAAAGAAGTAGGGATGCACCCATATGAATTTTTTTGGCCGATATCGAGAACTCTTCAGATTTGGAGGTTAATAGCCATTATATATAGGCCGATAATTAGGGTTTAACATTAACACCCGGCAACCTGCCAAATGCGGGTATATTTCAGCTTTGGCGGGTTAGTCAGCCGCTCCCACTAGCCACTTTGGCTTGTTGAAAATTATTTTTAAATTGTGGCTTTCTTAAAAGCAGGGTCTGACTACAAGGATGACCCAATATACTATTACAATAATACTATTACAACCTTGGTGTTTGTGTGTGTGTTTGTGTCTGTGATGCGTGTCTCTCACGAGGGCAGCGCGTCCTTGATCTTCATGCGGGACACGTCATCATACAGAGCGACGGACAGCACCTCCTGCATGGGGCAGATCAGCCCGTACTCCTCACAGCCGTTCTCGATCACCAGCGGGTCAGACTTGTGCGGGTCGAACATCACATTATTGGGTGTAATGATCATCACTCCACCCACAACACCCTGCAGACACACACACACACACCACTGAGTTCCACATTGCAAGACTGTAGTATAACTTAGTAGTGACTTATTCAACTGATAAACTGACATAACACTAAACACTTCATGCACTACTGAAACGGGAGGGGCTGGTGAGGAAGGGGAGGAGCTACTACTGAGGGGGCGGGGCTTATTATTAAAACAGGATCTCCTGTTAAAGGGAGGGGCTGGTGATGAAGGGGAGGAGCCACTACTGAGGGGGTGGAGATGATGATTAAAAGAGGATCTACTGTTAAAGGGAGGGGCTGGTGATGAAGGGGAGGAGCTACTACTGAGGGGGCGGGGCTGATGATTAAAAGAGGATCTCCTGTTAAAGGGAGGGGCTGGTGATGAAGGGGAGGAGCTACTACTGAGTGGGCGGGGTTGATGATTAAAAGATGATCTATTGTTAAAGGGAGGGGCTGGTGATGAAAGGGAGGAGCTACTACTGAGGGGGCGGAGCTGATGATTAAAAGGGTATCTATTGTTAAAGAGAGGGGCCGGTGATGAAAAGGGGGGAGCGACTACTGAGGGGGTGGATCTGATGATTAAAAGAGGAACTCCTGTTAAAGGGAGGGGCTGGTGATGAAGGGGGGGGAGCGACTACTGAGGGGGTGGAGGAGAAGATTAAAAGAGGATCTACTGTTAAAGGGAGGGGCTGGTGATGAAGGGGAGGAGCTACTACTGAGGGGGTGGAGCTAATGATTAAAAGAGGATCTGCTGTTAAAGGGGAGAGGCGGGTGATGAAGGGGAGGAGCAATTACTGGAGGACAGAGCTGATGATTGATAGGGGATCTACTGTTAAAGCGAGGGGCTGGTAATGAAGGGGAGGAGCTAGGAGCTACTACTGAGGGGGCGGAACTGATGATTAAAAGGGGATCTACTGATAAGGGGTGGAACTGGTGATAAAGGGGAGGAGCTACTATTAATAGGAAGGAGTTGGTAAAGAGGTGAACTAGTGATAAGGTGAGGGGCTGGTGATGAAGGGGAGGAGCTACTACTAATAGGGAGGAGTTGGTGAAAAGGAATCTACTGATAAGAGGAGGGGCTGGTGATGAATGTGAGGAGCTACTAACAAGGGGGAGGAGTTGACGAGAGGATCTACTGATTAGGGGAGTGGCTGATGATGAAGAGGTGGAG